CTAAGAGATTCTTTAGACTTTTCGGTATATGATGCATGTGACATAAGTGAAACAAGCCGCAAAAACCGTTAGATGAAGCCAACTGTAATAAGGCGACAGGCTTACGACTGCGTCCCACGCTTACCCATTCGCAGTCAAAGCCGAGCACTTTGTAATCCCCGCAATGCCTGGTGAAGCGAAGAACTTGACAATCAACTTAGTTGAGTAAATTAAATGTTTTTCATACTTTCTTAAAGTGTTAACTATATTATCACAGGCTTTGTCGTGATCACATGGTTCCAAATAATTTTGGAATTTAACAAACAGGTAGGCTAGTCCTAGTCCTATACCAACTCTGACTACAATCTTTGACATTAAGAGGGAGATTTTACAATTTGTTAAAATAAATTTTAGCAAAAGGTTCTTTGTTTATAAAGATTTAACTCTACACTAACAATAGATTGCAACAATTTGCTTACGTGTTTCATTTTCGCTGAATGTGTTCGAAGTGACTTAAGAGCTGAACACAAGACATAGCCTTGTACATAATTCGCTGTAATGCAATGCAGTAAACAAGTGGCTAGCATTCCATGACCACCAAAGTCATGTGCGCTAAATTTTGCTTATTGGCATAAGGATCGAAAAGGCGATAAATTTTTTTAAAAATGTATTTGCTCGAGTAAAGAGTAGTTTTCATTACCTTCCGTAAACAGTAATTAATATTAAAGTATTTATAAGTAATTGCAGCGATATCAATTCTTGGTAAACGATCTCTTGATGCCCTTCGGTGCGCTGCTCAAGTAGAAAAAATTGTAATTGGAGTTTTTGCATGTTATGCTTACAAGAGATGCTCTTCTCTTTAGATAAGGCGTCCTAGTCGGGGAAGGTTGGCGATAATACATCAAAAGTTACACAGCATTGTCATGAAAGGCCGCATATGAGATGAATCCTTATTTGAGGTGATATCCCAAAAATAGACCTACGTCCGATTCTATGGCAATTTGTTATTATGTACTAATTTTCACCAAGAAACATTAAAAATTATATATATTTACTATATAAAGGCTCAGTTTTTGTGGAAACGGTTATATGAGGGAGGAATCAAAAAATTGAAAATGTCCAAATACTATTATAGAGCGAGTTGTGTCGATAAGTTATGCAAGTTGCAATTTTTTCCATAGAACATTGTATGGAGGAAGGAAGAAAGAGCGAACTCATCCAAACCATTTTTGATAGCGTTCGTCCTTGAATCAAAGCGCGTCAGTGTGCAAAATTTCATCAAAATAGTTTAAAAATTTCGTCCTTTTGCTTGAGCACAAATTTACATGGACAGACAGATGGACGGACGGATAGGCTTAGGTGGGTCTCTCTTAAGCCCTTTTACGTGCCACATATGTCCGCATGAACTTAATGTACGCTTTACCACAAGTTGTGTAGTGTATAATTATGTTTCAATAAGAATTCAAGTAAGCAGCTAAAAATCACAGATTGCTTGAAATATCAACAACTTGATTCTCTTTTGTTTACGTTGTTGGTTAGGTGAAGGCAAGCATAAAAGGTAAAAGTAGACCGTGCACGTGGGTTACTGCAATGATTCCTGCACATTATATGATCAACTATTTGCGAATGGCATGACAACATCAAATTTTGACTTTAAAGCTTATGACACACAATGCACATGCAAGCAATATGTTAGGCGCTTATGTGTAAATAATAAGCAGAAACGAAACGAGATGAAGAGCCGAAATACAGACAATACAAACAACTGTGCAAACAATCCAATATAAACAATGTAGGTTCATAGTTAAACACTAGCAGGGGCCGGTTTGTGGTTTTCGATAACAAATAAACTGGATGAAGTTACCTCGGTGGCTGTGGATCATGAAGTCGTCGTAACGAGTGGAGAAGTCGATGAAGTATGCATTTTTCTTACAGTCGAATAAAAAACCTTTCGATCGTAAAATTACTGCCTGGTAACATATTCAAATTACTATCGAGTTTACTCGATATCGGGAATCATAATCTAGCTCCAGCTTTGAAGAATCATAAATTTCGAAGCACATGTTTGCACTCCGTTTTCTGAAGTAATTTAAGTCTACCTGCTCCTCTCACCTTCGTCCATCCTGGATCAAAGCATTTTTGCGCCCACTTTCGATAGTAAGCTATTATTTTGTAATAATAGAATCTCACCGCGCTGATATGAACAGTTTGGATTGAATAGAGTAATTTTTTTGAAAGCTTTTATGTACAAGGATCTCATGGAATCCAATGGAAAGCAACTCTTTATATGGCTTTAAATGTTTTAATTTTTCGCATTTTATAATGAAAACTGTTTCATGGTGTTTGCTTGACAATGACAAGGTCTGATATTTACATTTTCTGATAATTAGTTGAATCCTCGCATCTTGTGTGTGCAATATTTCAATAATTGCTGCGTTAACAATCTTGGTGTCTGATATCTATCTTTTTGCCCTACTTATAATCAAAAGAATGCAATTAAATACGAAAAGTTCAATTTAATTTTTTTTTATATAAAACATATAGAAATATACAAGTTTAGTAATTTTATAAAATTTAAGAACTCTCCTACATATTCTTAAACGGATAAACTATGCAACGACCCTTATCACTTCAGGCTTGTACTTCCAATCTAAAGTTTTATGCAAAGAAAAAAGATAAACTTATGGATAATTTTTCATTTGATTACTTAATAATTTACCTATCGGCCAATTCCAAAAAGATGGTAAGTTCTTCGGTTTCATATCCGCAACAAAATTATTCCTCCAAAATATTTCCAATTCCTTTAAACCTCCAAATTCTGTTTGAAATTTATTTACTACTTTTTCACCGTGTTCGTACTCTGGCCAGTCTGAATATTGATTTGACGCCTCAACTATCCTCTGGTGATCAATGTAGCCTTCTTCAAAATGAGTTGACAAAATAGTTTTTAAATGGTTGCGTTTTCCTGTCGATATAGCATTGTCGTCAGTTAATAGTGTTTCTGCAGCCGTTTTTACTTCTGTGACCTGAAGATGTGATGGAATGTTTCATTTTAATTGAAACAAAAAGCTCCAGTCAAAATTCATGAATTTCAATTCTGGTCTTTATTAGGAGGATGCTTAAAATTTGGAGGAGCTCTTTTAAATAAAAGTGAACTTTTATTAAAAAAAATTGTATAAGGGATAATTTTCTCAAATGGCAATATCTCTCGGGTGGAAAGTAAACGTGTCTCGAAAAGACGCAAGGGTCTTCTCAGACTATTCGGAGAAGAAGTTCAGCATTGCGTTAAATCGAAAATTGCCCAAACAATGGGTCAATAGTTAAAGTGAGTATTAATGAGAAGAAGCTTAGGCAAGGAGTTGTTATACTGGAAGTGATTTATTTTATCCAAGTGGGGTCAGATGTTGCTATGACGAAAAATTACGTTGTCATGTCTTTCATCATTTAACACGGATTTTTAACTTTCCAGTGAATATGTTGTTATTGCAGCAGTTTCTAGTGTAGGTCCCTCTCATAATGGAGTAGTTAAGCACTCCATACATTTTTCTTTTTGAGCCTAAGACTGCCTATACAAAGATCAAAAGCACTAAGTCGTAATTTATCGAGATAGGTATTGAATAAAAAGTGAAGATGGTACTTAGGTTCATATAGAGATGTTAAGAGAATTACACAATAGTACATATTGGCAATTAAGACTCTTTTAAAAATTCCTTCCAATTATGCGCATATTTCTAATAAGAATATATATATATAGTCACCTGGTCAAAGCTGTAAGGAGCATCGCACTTTTGGCTCAATGCAGTACGTATTCTAATATCGGATATAATATCTGAAACGTTACATTTGGGGCATAAATGCAGGACGTCGCTTGAAGTAAAAAACTGGGTTATCACTGCAATTAGTAGCAAAAGTTAGAAGAGAATCGAAAAGTTCAAAACTTTTAACGTTACATGGAAAATGCATACGATATTCGCTCGGCACCACATCTTTAGAAACAAAAGCATCTTTTTGCCCGCAGACAACGCATTCATGTTGATTAGAGGTCAGCCAATAACCATTTTCTTCAGCAAACGGTTGGTTGTATAAACGTATGGTAAATGCTTCCGATTTTATTTTCTCCCCTAATCTTTCTTGTAAATACCATTTGCCTTTCGATTTACTCACGACACACAAAGGTCGGCCATTTGGCGCTGCAAGAAGATAATCTTTATGGGAAAGTAGTGCAACGTTGTAGTAGTGGGGTTCGCTAACCAATGGACAGAACTGTAAACGCGTTATTGGAATATCTTGTGACAGCGTTATTGGTGTGTCTTTGGAAAAACCACGGTCCAAGAGGTATTGAATTTCGGACATGATTGCCATAAAGTCCGCGTTTGTGAAGTTCCAATAATTCCTAAAAGCATTCCAAACAATTTCATTACGCAATAACTTTTTCATTAATTTCGTACGAATTACCTGGGCTTCAGTCGATTGGCCAAATGCTTAAAAATCTCTATACCCGCGAAAGCGTCATTAGCAGCGTATTCGACTTGATCAGGGTCCAACTTGTCAAATTCCCAATTTGACTTAGCTATATACCATCGCTTAACAAAATCAACGTTTAACAATGATCGCGACAATTTTTCCAAACTAAGTGGTTTACACCGAAGCATAACGGCCAAGTAACGTATGTCGAAGGTGCTAGCCACGTAAATGCCATTGTCTTCTTGCAATTTTTGAGCATCTCCTGCAGGATCTACCCCAACTTTTATTATTTCTTTGTCTACTAAGAGATTCTTTAGAC